CGATTCTGTCGGGCTCTTCCGACACGTTCCAGTTGATTCACTCTAAATCAGTCAATTGAACTCTCGCTACGGAGTCACGTGTGACAGCAACGGCGGCAAATTTCCGTGACAGCAACAACCTAAGTATATATTCTTTAAAATATATATGACAAAAATCACGAAAACCGTTAGCCTCTCGACAAAGATCTAATTTTTTTCTTCCATGTCTCAACTGGGTAATCCATTTCACGATTAAAGTATCGCCAAGCATCGTTTCTCACACCTTTATTTGTGTAATTGGTGTTATTAGGGTCCCATATGCATTTATACTCCTTATATAGGGATTTTCATTTCCCGTGGTCTACTCACAAACGTCAGAGCACCGCGCACGACAAGTGACGGAGGCCCCTTTGAGCATGATCGCAAAACCGACAAGCGACAACGAATGGATCGCTCGCGGCAACGAGTGCATGCTCGAAGTTTGCAGCTTGGATTGCGCGAACTTGTTGGATCGTGCAGTGTGGACGGGGCTAGTGGTTAAGTAAAAAGTATCAAATTCCAAAATATCTTTCTAATTTCTAGAACTTTTGTCGGTTTAATTTAGCTTCACACAAGTTAAACATAAAAGGAATGTTATTGTCATCCCTAAAACGTAGTGATTATTCTATGCTCTTTGGTTTTATCGCAAATAATTACTTATTAGAATATTTTCATAACTCCTGCTGATTAAAATTTTTAGACGGAATAACTCGGTGTACATCAATGTAACTTTGTTATATTTTTTTTTAATTTATTAATTTAGCAGGGATGGGAGATATGATAAGGATATAGAATGACGAGTGAATGCGGGAAATAGAGTAAATGGAGCCCTGCACTCTATTGTGAAGAGTCAAAATGTGTCAAAAAAGGCACGTATGTAATTCACAATGCTGTGTTGGTCCGTACTTTAACGTATGGTAGTGAAAGTTGGGTGTGGCAGAAGAAGCACGAGAGTAGAATCAACGCAGTAGAAATGCGGTCGTTAAGGAGTATGTTAGGGCTGAATCTGAACGACAGGGTAGTTGTCGTGACCAGGATTAAGAAAGGAATGCTTCGGTGGTTTGGTCATGTGGATAGAATGAACGAGGAAAGAGTGACAAAGAAAATTTATGTTGCGGAAGTGAATGGCAGAGTCGGAAAGGGACGTTCTAGGCGAAAATTTATCGACCAAATTGGCGATTTATTGAAAACGGGCCAAATTAGGAGTACCCTTAACCGACGAGCATGTATGCGTAGGTGTATAGATGTGAAAGAGGCGAGAGAGGTGTGTCAGGATCGTGCCAAATGGTCTAAACTCTGTAGTCTCTGCCTACCCCTCTGGGTGACAGGCAATGTTTTTACGATTATATATATATATATATATATATATATATATATATATATATATATATATATATATATAATCAGTAAAAACATTGTGATTTATAGTTAGAATATCAATCAAATCAAATATTTAAATTGTACAATTTATACCCGTGTAGTGGCGGTGCAAGAACACTATATACTATACTCTATACCATATCCTCCTATGGGCGTCATAAGAGGTGACAGAACGAAACAAACCAGGAGATGGACAGCGTCTTCTTAATAACGACCAACTGCCAACTCGCTTGCCAAGCGTGGCAGCAATGGCAAATATCCCCCTATGACGCTATCTATAGGAGACATCTATGTTCATCTTAATATTTCTGAGAGGGTTTGTTTTTTGGAATGAGCCGAATTCATCGCATTACTAATAATCAATTTTTCAAGAAGGTTGCAGAATTTTTTTGTAAATCGTCCAGTTAATTTTATAAGAAACAGTTCCCTGTGAGGACATGTATGGAGGAGGCCTATGTTCAGCAGTAGACTGTTACAGGCTGTAATGGCAATTTAGTTTGTTTCGCTGCTTCTTCGCTTGGCTCCAAATCCTTACAATCAAATTAGTTTTTTCCTTAAAAGAATGTGCAAGACACAGATATTAACATCGGTTATGATGTAGATGTGGAGGTGTTTTATCCCACGAATTCGCGTACGTACGTAACACCCACAACTTTGCAACGAAAATTAACAAAGCGACTTGAAGAGTGGAGAAGTGTGGAGTTAGAGGTCGCGTTACTTAAAGTTAGGAGGGGTCAGAGTTTTATCGCATCACTTTTGAGAATTATGAATTATTCTTCTATCCTTCCTCATTAGTCAGTAATAGTCTACTGCAAGACATGGACCTCTCCCACTCAGAGGTGATTTATGATAATTTTCACGGTTTGCAGACAAATTGACGATCGCAATACAATACATCGCGCCTCTTTGACGTTTCTGGCCAGTGTGGGTACAATTAGCCAGTCTGGGTACGAATAACCAGTCTGGGTATTTTTGGTAGTCTGTTTTTGACGTAACCGATTTGTTTATAACGCCATACATCGAAAGCCGTTACATTTTTCTGGCGTTTCCCGTGGTCGCCTCCCACTACACCTCCAGGAGGTGTGATGGTGCACGGAGAGGAGTGATGGATTCACTTACGCCGCTACTATACAGCGAATGAACTTTCGATCCCTCCTCATTTTCTTATAAATTAAAGTAATTATTTACCCATTTTTAGTTTCTTTTTTATAGTTTGTTAGTGCAGATCTACCTTGCTTAGTTTCATTTAAATAAAATATTGGACGGATACAACATCCTCCGTGTTGAAATCTTCTATGCACTTAATCGGTTTAATGATGCAATTACTCCGTATACTAAAAATATCAATACTGTTATTGTTTGAGTTGAAAGAGTGATGTAGTTTATAAAATATAATCAATGGTCCCAAGAAATAAAACATCAAAAAAATTTGAGATTCCATGCGAACGAAGTCGCGGGCACATCTAATAATATCAAACAAAAACAGCACTACGCGTAATAATCTTTTCGTTAATATCTCTGAATAGACCGCCAACGGCCTTTGACTTTGGCCTTTGACAAGTGTTCACATACTCTGTCCTACCGGAATGCTCCCTTCTCTTCTGTCGTAGGGCCACAAACTCGCCCTATTATGTCCGTAATGCCGACCTCCACCGAGACTTAGAGCTCCCAACAATTCCACAGTTCCTCAAAACACTCTCTGAGAGATTTTTTAAAGCCTCAGAGTCCCACTCAAATCGCGTCATTCGTGAGACAGCTGTCTGTGCAGCCCCTCTCCACACTCGCTATAGTGTGCGCAGACCGAGAAACTCTCTCTCGGATCCCCCCAACAAGCTTTCGGCTGACCTGAACTGCCTCCTGGCGGCTCAGGCCGAGCCTACTTAACACATCCCTTAATCAGCCTAAGTTAGACACACTTCTAAGCGGCTTTTCGCTGCTGCTCCTTTCTGCCAAGGAGGGTCGCGTCTGTTTACGGTTTAAAGATCTCTAGTCAGATCGGTAAGCCAAACCCAAAAGGTGAAGTTTTGTGGGTAAAAGTCTCCACATAACCACTGCTATGAGTGGTTGATTCTCCACATCCCTCGCCCGTTACCGGAGGGTTGCCCTTAATTGCTTCGGGCGCAAAAAAAAGAATAAATAAAAACCCAACTTTCACTACCATACGTTAAAGTAGGGACCAACTCAACATTGTGAATTGCCATACGTGCTTTTTTGACACATTTTGACTCTTCACAATAGAGTGTACGGCCCCATTTACTCTATTTCCTGCGTTCACTCGTCGTTCTATATCCTTATCATATCTCCTATTCCTACTAAATACGCAACCCAAATATACAAACTCATCTACTTGCTCGATCAACTCCTCTTCTATTCTTATTTCACATATTGTTCTACTTTCATCTCTTTCAAAAACCATAACTTACGTCTTACTTGCGTTCATTTTCATACCCCTTTCTTTTAATGATCTGTTCATTAATGTAACCATCATTTGCAACTCAGCCGCCGACGACACAAGTATAACTTGATCATCGGCGTAGAAAAGGCATTTGACGGTTAACTCCCCATTCTTAATCCGCATTCTTCAACTTTCAAATTTTGCAAATAACAATCCATAAATAGGTTGAATAGCCACGGGGAAGCCACACAGCCCTGTCTGACACCATTGTGGATGCCAAACCAGTCCGATAGACCCAGTTGATCCTAACACAAACACTAGAGTCCCTATAAAGAGACTCCAATGCCTGTATCAAGCCAGCGTTCAACCCAAATGAGTTCAGTGTTTGCCATAGCACATCCCTATCCACTCTGTCATAGGCCTTTTCCAAGTCCATGAACGCACAAAAAACCTTTTGTTTTTTGGCCAAAAACTTCTCCGCGATCATGCGCATGGAAATAACTTGATCTGTACATTCCATTCCCTTTCTAAATCCCGCTTGCACATCCCATATTTTTCCATCAGTTACTTTCATGACCCTTTCAATTAGTACCTTAGCATACAGTTTTCCCACAATGCTAAGAAGGCTGATACCGCGGTAGTTTTTACAGTTTTTACAGTCAGTCAAAAAAAAAATAATGCTCCCCAATCCAGTCTCTCTTCGTTTATGGGAGTGACTGTAGTATGAACCTGGAGCAGGAATATTAAAGTATCGGCCAGACTGTAGGAGCCTTTTCGGTAAAGTGGGTCGGATCTTTGTAACATCTTTCAGGGTACTGTTGAATGTAGGCCTGCTCCAATGAATACCTTAATACACGATCCTGAATCGTCTGGATCCACCGACTTTAAAAATTATAAGCTATTTCCTTTACACTTAGAAAATCTTGCTTGTTTGCCCCATCCCTTATAAAGAAAACCCTTATTGATATCCTATGCACTAGTAACATTCAGTAGATTTAAATCAATTTCAATAAATACTCAATTCTGTTTGGTAAAACATGCCAAACCACAATCACATATAAGAACACTATTCAGCATTTTAACGCAAAAGACCTCAAAAACCCATTCTAGTTTACGATGCAAACGGTCGTTAAATGTAATCGTAAACATTTTATATCAAAGCTACCAAATCTTGTTACAAACGTTGCGATGATAAGGCTAAGAAAAAATGAAACTCCGTCTGTTTTTGTTATTTATTAAAAACGTCATTAGTTTTGAAGTTATTGAACTGGATGGTGAATTTCTTAGACACGGCGGAAAGCCAATATTAAGAAACGATATAAAAACAAAAAACCATGAAGTTTATTTTGATACGGACAATGATAGAAGGGGGCTAGACAGTGATGAAGAAATAAAGACTCTATTGGAGGAGAAATACAAGTTTAGAAACGATGAGACATCTACTAGATATAGAATTACACATGACGATAGAGAGTTCTCAGGTGTGTTAATGATTTTTTTAAACATTACCTACCCTATAGGATTACGCTAGGATTTTCTCCTGTATCGTGGAGGCAGTTTACGAACATAAATTGCACAAGGACAAACATCCAGATCTGGAACAATTATTTGTAGGCCCTACAAATACTTGTTTCTTGTGGGATTCATACCCACGAAGCTCAGCCCTAAGCCCCAATCACGGAGTAGTTGAAATACATCTCAAAAGAAATTTTACATTTTAGATAGGGGGTTCTATAAATGATGCCACACTACAACTATGAGTATATTATGGTTCTAACTACGTCCAGTTCTTCCGCTATTTTGATGATGTAATTTTTTTGGTAATGACTATTTTAGTTAATCTGAGGAAGACTTACAGCACCACTAAACGATGGCATAGAATACCTGCGTGAAATAGCAGCTTAATGCTACAGTGTTTCGTATGGTGAATGTATATAACGAGCTCTTTTTACTGGAAATGAGGTATTCCATCTCAGTCCTCACGGGTGACAACGTTTCTGAATTTTGATACTTTGTCGAAGCTAGCCATAGATGTCCAGGGACCACAATATCCATTTACACCAGATTTCACCCTTATTCTATAAAACAAATGGTAAAATTATAAATCTTTGTAAAAGCAACTCCAGTAAAAATAAAATGAAGACCACACGAGAAGCACCAGCTTACAAATAAAAAAAGAATCATCAAAATCGGTTCTCACAGAAAAAAGTTCTGATGTAACACATAAAAAACAGTCGAATTGAGACCTCCTCCGTTTAGAAGTCGGTAAAAAAAATTTTCGCTGCTACATGTATATATATATATATATATATATATATATATATATATATATATATATATTATATATATATAGAAACTTTTTACCTCTGACAAAATGAGTGACGTCCATAATTTTAATATGCGCAATGTATCTAAACCTTAGAGTAATTACTTAAATACGTATGTATTCTGAGATCTAAACTTGCTAAACTTCATAAAAGAAGTAGCAAATAATTTTTGGATAAAAAAATTTACGCTTTGAGACGCATGTTAAAAGCATTCTTACGAATAAATCCTTTATTATAAATTTGATGAGTTTTAAAAAGATAAGAATATAAATGTTTGACTTTTCTATTGATATTTATTGTATAATTCAATTGTAAATTTTGGGAGAAAAGTAATCTAAATGTGAGTTTCTTACCGCGTTTTTAAACTAGATTTCCTGCAGTAGAAACTTTTTGAAATGATTGCGCAACTTTAATGGCTTTCAAAAAATCATTTGTAGAACCCCTTACCGTGTATCGTATGGACCTATAAAATCCACTGCTGAAAATAGGTGTCTCTCACAGATTGCCTCGTTCATAGTGTCCACGCTTGGCAAGCGAGTTGGCAACCGCAGTTTTTTTTAGTCATTATCATTTTATTTTTATTTTACTTATTTCAATTATACATAAAACATATTACCAGAGTACACAGTTACTATACAGCACCATTAAACCGCAAAATGGTTTGTGTTGGTGCTGGCAGACGTCTACACGCATTAATATATTATTTTTAATAACTACCTACTATCATAAAATAGGGAAAAATTAAGTATGATAACAACTAAGTACATATATCTTACTTTACACACACATTCTTATAATATTCAACATTTAATTAGCCATTCTAAATTGTGTTAGCTACATTACAACAAACAAGTTTCATTATTTTATCGCGATGACCGTGTACGGTATGTTATACAATTCTTAAGACTCGAATATGCATGACTTTAGTTTTTTCTGCATTAAGAACAAGTCCCATTTCATGAGACCTTAGATATTAGAAATATGTACGGTAAAGGGTTGGGTTGCAGAGCCCTATTCTGTATAAAAATATTTTGTCTTGACTTGACTTACTCACCATAACCATGTTTGTACATAACATGAGTATGTTTAAATAGGTTTTTCAGAGTCACCAGACGAACAACATCTAGCGTGGGTCTTTCGTTCGTATGCCGTCCGAAGAATCGTCGGCGGCATGGAGACGAGCATCAACATGTATCCGTACAATGTCGCAATATCTAGGAACGGGAAGCACTGGTGCGGGGGAGCTGTCATCGACGAGCAGTGGGTTTTGACTGCTGGACACTGCCTGGATTCGTGAGCTATACTTTTTACTGCGTGCTACATTTACTTCCAATTATTTTTGAACTATAACTCTTTAGAAAGAAGTTCCAGAAACGTTAGAAGTATATTCTGTAAGCGCGACATGGCGGTAATTCAGGTCTATTTTCGAACAGAGGTAACTTTTAGTAAAATATAATATAGCCCATTTATGTAGTTTTCACATTTATAAAGCCAGCGATTGACTATAGAATTTCGTAAATTCGTGAGTACTGAGTTATTATAAGTTATTATAAACACATATCGTATAATATTTTCATATATGTGCTTAAATTCATTTTATTGTTATTTGTCGTCAATCGTAAGCAGATTAGTGCATTGAATTATACAACACATATGAATCAATGGATTAGTGTGTAAAGCAACAAGGGCCATCGGCGCGGCGGATCGGAGGGGTGTAGCTACAGCGTTTTTCTCGACACATAATTGTCTGTTTTTGCAGGGAGAAATCTGCGCATACCAAAGAAATCGTCTGTCCTTACAAAATAAACATTACAATAATAATAATAAACTAACAATATCAAAAACATATAGATACATTTTAACAACATCACTCGGTAAACATTTTTTTTTATAACGGGTAGGGTGTCAAACGAGCACACAGTCCACCTGATGGTAAGTGTTTGCTGCGGCCCATAGACATCTACACTACATCTATCCTCGATTACAAATCAAAATGCAGATGCGTTCTCACCTGTAAGGATTAAGATGGAGTGCCTCGTTTCCAGTAAAAAGGGTCTCCGGTTCTCTACACTCACCATACGAAACACAGCAGCATTAAGCTACTATTTTACGCTGGTATTCTGTGAGAGCGTGATCCTTCCCCAGTCGAGCCGACCCATTCGTGCTACAACTATACTACTAATATAACTGCAGCATGGTTCTACCACGTATAAAAACAATTACAGCTCGGATATAGTCTCGGACCAGTCGCTCAACTGATCTACATATTGTATGAGGGCACGAATACACGATCGTTATAATTGTAATTATTAAGTATAAAAATAAGTAAATACAAATAATGTAATTAAAATTACTTATATGTGGAAGGTTACGTCAACTTTTTGTTAATTTGACGTCACCAATCACTTTTTGCAGCAAAAACTAATCAAATCAGCATTTTTAAAGGACGTCAGTTCAAACGCGCAACTAGATTTAACAAGATTTAACCTATGTACCCGCGTTATTAATTGAGTCGTCGCTTCGGGCCATAAATGTCACTAACAATAGGAATGTGCTACCGCTGTGCGCCACTCGCTACCTGAGTCCGCCTTATCTATAAGATTACATATAAAATTTAACAGATAAGCTGGCAAATGAACATAGTCATGAAGTGATACAACTGCCACTATATCATTGTCAATATAATCCTATTGAGCTCATATAGGCTCAGGAGAAATTGCGGCGCAAAACCATACTTTAAAAATAGACAATATTGAAGTTCTTCTGCATAAACCAATAGAAAACGTTACCAGCGAAAACTGGGCTAAATCTGTGAAGCGTGCTGAAGACCTTCAGGAAACGGATTGAAAATAGATTTTTTGAGTGATGAAGTTAAATCTTTGATAATAAATCTACAGGATACGTGGTAGAGCCATGCTGCAGTTATATTAGTAGTATAGTTGTAGCACCAATGGGTCGGCTCGACCGGGGAAGGACCACTCTCTCCCAGAATACCAGCGTAAAAGAGTAGATTAATGCTGCTGTGTTACGTAGTAGAGTACCGGAGACTCTTTTTACTGGAAACGCGTCATTCCATCTTAGTCCTCACAGTTGACAACGAATCTGCATTTTGATGATTGATTTCATAGATGTCTATGGGCCACAGCAACCACTTACCATCAGGTGGACTGTGTGCTCGTTTGTCACTCTATCCTATAAAAACAGGAAGAAGATAGTGACACGGATGCCTCGGATGAAGAAGATAATTTGTAATATAATAAAGTATTTATTAAGAGTAGTGCGTCTGCAACTAGTTTTATTGTACGCATAATAAAGATATTGATTAATTTGCAACCTTCCGCTAACTAAATACAATGATGTGTCTTACCTAGATGTTAGCCGCAGTAGAGTCTACATCACCTGAGGATGCCTCGTGTAGAGGCGAAACACGTGTCGTATTATCGTCGATGGTGTGTCTTACCTGGAATAGTGGTGTTGGAAGTAATGGTGCCGGGAGTAGTGGTGCTGGGAATAGTGGTGCTAGGACTAGTGGTGACGGAATTAGTGCACGCAATTGAGGGAGGGCGGGAGGTGCTCTTCAATCCAGATAAGACACATCAGTGTATTTAGTTAGCGGAAGGTTGCAAATTAATCAATATATTTATTATAATGGGTTTCCGCAAAGTGACGCCTGATTCTATCAATTATATTGTACGCGTAAAAACGTAGTGATTTTTCTTTGCATAGGACCGCGTGAACAGTCCTATGCAAAGCGTCACCTTGACAGAGAGTGCCTGCATATGGTGGCTCCCGTCTACCGGTGGCCCGTGTTAATATATCGGAAGATTTTTCTGGCATTTCCCATACCTTTTACGCCATAGTGGTAAAGTAAAAAAATCCATTAGCCTATTTTCTAAAATAACCGAAGCTAATGATTCCATAGTTTATTGTAAGTATTTCTTGATGTAGATCACTGTTTTGAAACTGGTAGTGAATTTTAGAATAAGTCAGAACTTAAATAAAATTATGGCTATGATTTTTGAATTCTATCATTTATAGTGCTTTCGATGGTGATAAGAAGAAACTTACACCTTACATCGTGAGAGCGGGAAGCTCTTTCCATAATCGCGGTGGTTACCAGGCCCGAATAAATAAGGTATATTTTAATTATAAGGCTGTGTCCCTACTTCAATGTGTGGTAGTGAAAGTTAGGTGTGGCAGAGGAAGCACGAAAGTAGAATAAATGCTGTAGAAAGACGGTCTTTATGGAGTATGCTAGGGTTGAATCTGAATGACAGGATGAGAAATTGTGTGATAAGAGAAAAATTACCAGGATTAAGAAAGAAATGCTTCGGTGGTTCGGTTATGTAGACGAGAAAAGAGTGACAAAACAAATTATATTGCAGATGTGAACGGCAGAGTCGGAAAGCGCGTGTATGCGTAGATATATGGATGTAAAGGAGGCGAGAAAGGTATGTCAGGATCGTGCCAAATCAAAGTCCGTAGTCTCTGCCTGCCCCTCTGGGTTACAGGCGTGTTACAGTTTTTATGTTTATATGTTATTTTATTTATTTTAAAGGTCTACTCATAACATCTTCCCAACAGATGTAATAACGTCCTTCAGTGTCCGAATTTTAGACACGGTGGCTAGACATAACGCAGACCATCTGCACAGGACAGGATTAAGTGCCCAGTGTACTACGTGACCAAAACAATTAGGCGCATGACGGCTAAAAAGTCATTAGGACTAGAGAGGGAATACCGGAACGGTGATTGGTCACTAGGGGAAGCGCGGAGGTAGAGGCAGGGTGCGTGTATCGAAACCGCATTGTTTTATTAATTGTTTTAGCCAAGTTATATGTGCAAGCACAGGTGCATTCTTTATTACCTCACCCTTATAGTCCAATGGGATTGTAAGAATTTGTCGACAGAAAAACTCAACAACTGATTTTTGCAACAACTGATTTTTGGCACGACCCGGGATTCGAAACCAAGTACTCATGATTTTCAGTCGCATCAACTACTACTTTACCGACAAAGCAGTCAAAGTTCTTCCCAGCAGTAGGGATTTGTTGAAGAGACGGCGTAGAATTTGAATTTTGAAAAGTGCTTTGTAAAAGCCTATTTTGAACAAAAATATTTAAGTTTGATTTAAGGATTCTTCACAACTTGATAGGCATTATTAGTACCCGACGTTTTACTGCCGCAGAAGAAATTACTGTAGAAATATACCTATAATTAATAATTATACGTGGTAGAGCCACGCTTCAACTATATTATGGTTGTAGCACGAATGAGTCGACTCGAACGGGGAGGGACCACGCTCTCACAGAATACCAGCGTAAAATAGCAGCTTAATACTGCTGTGTTTCGTATGGTGAGTGTAGAGAACCGGAAACCCTTCTTTACTGGAAACGATGCATTCCATCGTAGTGCTCAGGAGTTACAACGCATCTACGTTTAGATTCGTAATCGAGGATAAATGTAGATGTATATGGGTCACAGCGTCCGCTTACCATTAGATAGACTGTGTGCTCGTTTGTTACCCTTACTCTATTTAAAAAAAATCTAAATTTGGAAGAGTTACATTGCTTATTGAATGATAATAATAATGTCCTCCAGACCGAATTTCGGCCACGGCGGCCAGCCTCAACGGAGACTAGCCAACGGCGCAGGACAGGATTATAGTGCCCAAGTGTATGCGCAAGCACAGGTGCACTCTGTATTCCCTCACTCTCATAATCCGATGGGACGGTAAACCGACACGACCGGAGAGAGATCAGGCGCAGGACCAACGGCTTTACGTGCTTTCCGAAGCACGGGGGTGAGACTGAATTTCTTGACGGAAAAACTTAATAATTAATTTTTTGGCACGACCGGGGATTCGAACCCAGGACCTCATGATCAGCAGTTGCACTACTACAACAACTGGACCAACGAGGCAGTCATGGAATGATAATACATTCATTGAAATTGAATATATATATATATATATATATATATATATATATATATATATCTTTAAAATAAATTTATTGATGCTATACGTACGTCACCTACTGTACATTAATTTTATTATCCCTATAACCTTTGTGAAAGTGCAAGTAATAAGTTGACAAAGTCGGGCCGCAATCTGATGAACGGTATAGCAGCGTATAAAATGTGAACAAACAAACATTATTTTTATATAAGTATTAGATAGTTGACATGTAAATAACCAGATGCTTTAACCCTGAATTAATCAGTAAGTATGTTTCTTTATACCTAAATTTAATTCCAGGTTTTCTTTTTGCCTGAATACACCCCCCGGCAGTGCCGACTACGACTTCAGCCTGGCCCGTTTAGACAGGCCGCTACCAATCGGGAGGAACATAGCAGTCTTGAACCTTCCTTCTCGGGACTTTGCGATCAAGGAAGACGATATTCTCCTCGTCTCTGGGTGGGGAAGTACAGATGTAAGTTACTATTTGTCATTTCGGTCTTAAAAGCCATTAAATAAATACACTATTATTACTAAAGTGAACACTGTACACGTTTTAAAAGTGCCTGTTGCCAGTGATATTCTATAAAACTAAAATGCCAGAGAGATATAGAGCCATGCTCAGGGTTCTCTGTGCGATAGAATTCGTAATTAAGCTTTTTTTTATGGAAAGGGTAACAAACGAGCACACAGTCCACCTGATGGTAAGTGGTTGCTGCGTCCCATAGACATCTATATCTATCCTCGATTACAAATCAAAATGCAGATGCGTTGTCATCCGTGAGGACTATGATGGAATGCCTCTTTTCCAGTAAAAAGGGTGTCCGGTTCTCCACACACACCATACGAAACACAGCAGCATTTAGCTACTATTTCAAGCTGGTATTCTGTGAGAGCGTGGTCTTTCTCCGATCGAGCCGACTACTATATAACTGCAGCATAGCTCTACCACGTGAAAAAGCTGTACACAATAGAGTAATCTCGTAAGAAGAAATAGGCCGGTTACATAATTCGAAGAATCGACATCCGACAGAACTACCAAAAGTTTTCGAGTGGCAGTCGTACCAGTAAAAGGTGTATAGAGTGGCTCCCTACTAGAGATAATGATGACCCAACAAGATATGCTGGAAGGCGATGAATGCTGGTGGTAATAAGGAATGCCTATGTGAAGCAGTGTACTTTTTTGGCTATAATGAAGAGATATTTCTTTTTATAGAATAAGAGTAGCGTACCTATAGTAAACGAGCATAAAGTCCATCTGATAGTAGGTTGATGCTGTGGCCAAGAAACATCAGCATTTATTCTTAATTAAGAATCAACTACAGATGCGTTATCACCCCTGAGGACTAAAATAGATTGCCTCGTTTCCAGTAAAAAGGTCCTCCGGTTTTCTACATTCACCATAGGAAACACGGCAGCATCTGCTGCTCTTTTAGGCTAGTATTTGGTGAGAGCGAGTCCCAGTCGAGTCGACATATTCATGCTACAATGTATATAGATACAACGTGACTCTTCCATACATATACGTAAAAATCTAAAAAATTCCATTAATTACCAAAACGAGCACATAGTCCAACTGATGGTAAGTGAATGCTACGGCCTAGGAGCATTTACATCTATCATCAATTAAGAATCAAAATTCAGATGCGTTATCATCCCTGAGGACTAAGATAGATTGCCTCCTTACCAGTAAAAAGGTACTAGTATAGACTCTGATTAATTTCATAATCTGTGTCAAAACATATAGTAAAAATCATACCATTTTACTCATACCTTTAATCGTATAAGATAAGAATTGCGTCAGTGTAAGACCATCTATCACTCCATTTCGTCCAAAGGATGTCGTAAGTGGCGACTATAGGAAAGACTAAAGAGACACTATTACCTAAAAATTTTTCCTTTTTTCTTATAAGACGGAAGGTAGTGAATAGTCACTAAACCTCGTGCTGAGTGTGATGATTTAGGCAAATCCTTGGTTCATCTTGGGCTCATAACGACAAAGAAGAAGAACGGGAAAAATACTTTAAATAGAAATTAAAAGCCGCTTACAAACGAGTAAAAAGAATAAAGCGATTTCACATATTGAAGTCGGTGTACCTGTATGTCGTAGGATAATAAGGAAAATTAAAATCATCGAATTCAGAATGTGAAATTATTTGACTCTCTTTAGTGTTATGAAGTCAGCTTCAACTTTTTACTAAAATTTAATATTTTTACCCTTTTGAGTTTACTAAAGAATACCACAATGTGGTCTAAATATCTCTTTTAAAAAAATTCTCCCCTGTTTTTCCAAACTTAGAAGAGAAATTTTTTCTCCAAATTTTGTGGGACTATCTCTGAAGTTATATTCAATAAAAAAAATAATTATCAAATACGTACAAAAATCATACAGTCGATTTGAAACCTAATTGGCTTGATTTTGGTTTATAGGCGTATAGTTTATGAATTACAATTTTTTTGTATGATTATTCGGTTTATTTTATTAATGTCAATTTGGCAAGAAAGAATATATTGCTTCATATCTTTCTTTAAAAAGATGGCTAAAAAATACGTCTATCAAATACGTCAGCTCTTTCTACATATTTCCTGATCTTCAAAACGGAGTGTTCGGATGGACGTGATGTCCAGATACCTTGTCGATGTTCCCTTTTTATGTTTTCTAGAAATCCGGTTACGGTCACATTCCGGACCGGCTACGTTTCGTTCCCGTACCGATTATGAAACTAGAAGAATGTCAGAAAGCGTACAAGTTCTACATAACACCAAGAATGCTGTGCGCTGGGTACGCTACTGGTGGGAAGGACGCTTGTAACGTAATGTTCAAATATAAGATACCTTCTTTAAAACTTTAATATAAAAACACAGAGTTAAACTTTCAGCATTAAATAAATAATAAACACGTTAGGATTTCTTCTGTATCATTTTTATACAATAAGGGTGACAAACGACACATAGTCTATAGAAATCTACTTAATCTATGAATATGCAGATGCATTGTTACTCCCTGAGGACTCAAATGCCACGTTTCTGGTAAAAAGGTATTCGGTTTTCTACACTCGCCATGCGAAACACAGCAAGCATTAAGGTGCTATCTCACGCAATTTTTCTGTGAGAGCGTGACCCTTTCACCGGTTGAGCCGACCCATTCGTGCTACAACTATAATATAGGCGCAGCATGGCTTTACCACATAAACATAGCTCTACTGAGTAAACATAGCTCTACCACGTACAAAGATTTTTTTTTCGTTTAGAATAAGGTTGACAAACGAGTATACAGTCCACCTGATTATAAGTGGATGCTGGGGCCAGTAGATATTTACATTTATCCTCGATTATGAATCAAAATACAGATGCGTTGTCACCCGTGAGGACTAAGATGGAATGCATGCAGTAAAAAAAGGGTCTCCGATCTCTACACTCACCTTACGTACACAGTAGTATTGAGCTGCTATTTTACGCTGGTATTCCGTGAGAGCGTGGTTCTTCCCCGGTCGAGCCGACCCATTCGTGCTACAACCATAATATAGCTGCAGCGTGGCTCTACCACGTATAATGCTTTTACATAACTGATGTGTTAGAACCGGAATAAAGTAAAAGGTTATTAAAGTAAAAGTACGCCATCTAGTGAGGACGTAAGAAAATCAACTACCCCATATCATCGCATAGATGTTGTATGAGCCAACGAAGGGAAACCGAAACAAAAGATGGGCAACAAAAAAATTGACAGTCATTCTAGTATCATACGCTAAACTTGAAATGACCGTGTGATGTGAAAGGAAAATAATCACCATTTCGTCTCTTGGTAGTATTCACGTATTGACGTGAGAGAATCGAGAGGTATATCTTGGGGAGTGCCAGAAACATACTCATGGCCTTCGACAAATGGTGTTATAATTACCTTTTAAGCCAGGAATACTGCACCCAGGGAGAAGGCAAGGAATAGTATCAAAAATGCAACACATCAGTAAATACTCCTTGCTATGAAAGTTTTGTTTATGTTTAGGTATAGAGATTGAGCTTATGAAGTATAGTAAACAGGTCTCCCTTTCGGTAAATACCGGATTTATCGGAAATTTTCGCTGAGCTTTGAAAATCCTCAGGGTATTTTTAACAGAATAAGGATCACAAGCCAGCACACAATCCACCTAATGGTAAGTAGACGCTGTGGTCCATTTATACCTTCATCTATACCTGATTAAGAATCAAAATGCAGATACTTTGCACTTTTATATAAGGGTGCCCGTTTTTCCACATTCACCATACTAAATACAGCAGTATTGAGCTGCTATATTACTCTGATATTTTCTGAGATGATGTATTGTTATAACGTTTATTAACAGCATGACTCTGGAGGCCCAGCTGTACGTGACGGCGTACTTTTGGGCTTAGTGTCATTTGGAGGCAAACAGTGCGGTGACCCTCGCTCTCCAGGAGTCTACAGCCGAGTGTCAGAGGTCACGGAGTGGGTGGAAGCAACAGTAACAGCCAATGAAGCTATCAACGTTCCAGAGCTCAGACCCAAGATATTGAAAGCGAGACAGAGCGAGAAAGAACTGCAGAAGTAAGATATAAAAAAGGTTCCTATATTATGAAAATTATTTGGATCTTTTTTTATTATAGTCTAAATAATGAGAGGGCCATTAGAGCTATTTACAACCTTAAACCGAGAGAGAATCTTATAGAAAAATTTAAAGAAATAAATATATTAACTTTGGCCTCTCAGTATATCTATGAAAATTTGATGTATGTTCACAAAAATAAAGTTAGTTTTAATAAAAAAAGTGACATACACCCTGTAAACACTAGGAACAAACACAAGCTGGTACTACCAGTTTCTTGACTCCACAGAGTCAGTAATTCATTCTTGGGGCAATGTATACGCTACTACAACAAAGTCTCTCTGTTACCAAGATATTTAATTAAACAAAAACTGTATAAAAAGGGTTATTATGATATAAATGACTACATGGTTGATAATAACCCCTGGGATTGAGGTAGTCGCCTCCAAGCTGTTTCTAAAATAAATTTTGTAAATATTTTGTGACCCTTGACATTCTAAAATTTATTTTTAAAAAAAAGTCCTGCTGGGTTTCTTGTTGGTTCTTCCCAGGACAGAGGTTTTTTTCCGAACCAGTGGTAACGTAAAATATTGACTTTCAATGAGAATTACCTGTAATCTATATTGAATAAAAAATTAAAAAAAGAAAAAATGCTAGTGCTGCAGCGATAAAAATCTAAGTGATTCATCCTGAATTCGAATCTCAACGTCAAACTTTGTGCAGAAACACAAATTATAGATACTATTAATGCTATGTGATATCCTTGCTTCCTAGCAGTCCGTTTGGGCGTGCGTGACAGAATGATGTTTCACCACATGGTTTGATGGAAAATAAAGACGATTATAAAACCTGATGATTTTTATCAATATTAAAATAATTGAGGGTTATAGGTAGGCATTTTAAGTAGCAGAGTCGACAATGGGCGCTAAATTAGCGATACATTGAAGATGAATTAAATTAAGAGTGTCCTTAACCGACGCCCATGCATGCGTAGGTAGGTATATGGCGTATATTACGCGCTCATGCAGGCGTCAATCACTGCATTACACGGTAGGTTATTTGTCAATCACAACCGTCATTGTTGTAAAACTGACAGCCTGCATGAGCGCGTAAGGCGTACATTACCTATGGATGTGAAAGAAATGAGAGAGGTGTATCAGGATCGTGCTAAGTGTAAGTCCGTAGTCTCTGTGTACCCCTCTCGGTAACAGGCATGAGAATTTATGTATGTACGAGTACATATATGCACACGAATTGTCTCTTAAATATGTAATAGTAACAAACTCATTTAAATACTAAACTCACACAGATTCAAAGCCCAAGTGGAGGACAAAAAGAACAAAATCAAGGACTGGCTGCGTGAAACCCTTAGCTCACCCACGTTTCTGGAGCTCGCGAAAAGAAAACTCAAAGAGGCTGGCTTAAAACTGAGAAGGCGCTTCAGAAGGACATACAGTGATAACGAAATCATGGATGATAGAATGATGGACGACGCAAACCTCTCTAACCAGATTAACGAACGGATACTTGGTGATGGGGAAGATAACGAAGCGGAGGCCCTTCTCAGAATGATGGCCATTCAAGAAATAATGGCGGATAGGAAAGATGACGCTGTTTTATACGGAAATGGGAATGAGGGGGGAAGAAGCACCGATAAGAGTGCCTTAATAGCTTTTATTACTTAAATTAAATATGCCATGGATTAAAACTACCCCTTTTTTAAATAAAAGTTTGTCTGTATGCTAATAGGCTTTCTAAGTGTCCATCGCTGAGCATAATAGGTCTGCCTCATAAATATGGAGGAGATCTATTTTGCAACAGTTGCCGGGACGAGTTGGGATCTGCCATTTTTTATCATTACTTTTTAGAATAAGGGTAGGTAACAAACGAGCACACAAGTCCATGTGATGGTTAGTGAATGCTGTGGCGCTTAGACATCTACATCTATCCTCGACTAGGATCCTAGACAGTGAAAATGCATTGCCACCCCTTTGAACTTAGTTGGAATGCTTCATTTGTAGTAATAAAGGTTCCCATACGAAGCATATTGAGACAGCTCAATGCTGTATGCATTGAGCTACTATTCTACGCTGGTATTCTGTGAGAGAGTGATTCTTCCCCTGCTGAGCCAATTCGGGCTGCAACCAAAATATAGCTTCATCATGGCTCTACTACGTTCTTTCATCTCATCCTATACCATTTCCCTCTGTCATGACTTACGATACTCACAAAATGATTTGGGGTAGTAATTACGCTGCCAATATATTCTGGTGGCTCATCAAATGTTGTGTGCCTTTCCATCACTATGAGCCTTCAATCAAGAGTCATAATATACTGGATGACCTAATTTACCGTCTGGAGAAAAATAGTGTGTAACGTATGAACGGTGTAAAAGCCAACCGCACTGATATTTTACAAAAATAAAAACAAAAATTTTGATTTATAGTTAAAATCTCTCGAAATTCAAATCATATTCACCCTAATTTACGAACGGCTATAAAGCAATTTAGTAGGCATCTTTGACCTTGTCACTACGCAGGATCAAAGGAAATGAGCAAAGTAATTGTCCAAAAAAAAAATATTCCAACGTTTAATTCGACATTTGTATTTTATATTTTGTAAATATTTTGCAGTGCCATGGGTTTCTACTCCGTTTACATGTTACACCCTATTTTTTTGGTGGTGGCAAAAAGGGTCACCACTATAATAATAACCAGCTATCAATAATCACATTGCGCCTGCAGTGTTCAAATAGCAAGTAATAAACGTGTCTTAAATTTGCATTTATTTTCTTCTATTAACTCGCTAATATTTATTATTTAGTTGACAAGAATATGTTTAGGTATCATCATCATCAACGCCATCTATGCAGCCTATCAACAAAGGTCTATATTACCCCTAATGTTGCCTTATATGATTGCCTCATGGGGCCACGTTTGTCAAGCTGTTTGGCAACGGTTTTTTTGTATTAATTTGCTTTGTTGTCAATAAAGTACTTTTGCTATCTCCTCTTTCATTACCCTCTGTCGCAACTTACGACACACACGTTTTTTATACGTGGTAGAGCCATGCTGCATTTATATTAATAGTATAGTTGTAGCACGAATGAGTCGGCTCGACCGGGGTAGGACCACGCTCTCATAGAATACCAGCGTTAAATAATAGCTTAATTCTGCTGTGTTTCGTATGGCGAGTGTAGAGAACCGGAGACCCATTTTACTGGAAACGAGGCATACCATCTGAGTCCTCGCGGGTGACAACGCATCTGCATTTTGATTCGTAATCGAGGATAGATCAGGTGGACTGTGTGCTCGTTTGTCACCCTATCCTATATAAAATAAAACGAAGTATGGTGTAAGGTTTTGAATACCCTTACGTAACTACAACACAGCGATAATATGAAATTAAAATTATCATGATACATTTTTTTACAAAATTAGTTATAAACGGTAATAATTGGTCGTGGTTAAAGCGGCCGGCTTACATAGAAGTATTGTCACTTCTGAAAACTGAGATGAAAATTTTTCATATTGAAACAAGAATATAGCAGTAGCAGAGGATAAAATGTACAGCTGTTTGGCGGCTAAATGAACAAAGAGTTACCCTATATTATTATTCAACCAACTATTACTAAGTTTGTTGTAAAAATGACATTTAAAGAACTATTTGGAAGACATGTAAGCACGACAGCAAGAAGAACTCGTATTGGGGCTTCGCGGTTGACACTTTTATGCTCTAAAACTCGCTCACAAAAAGAGGAGGTATAAAAATTATTTTTTCTGTTTGTCCATTATGCGTTTTTATACCATTATTATGATTAGGATAAAATTTTGTTAATTATTTTGTGCGCATCCGAGAATATTTCAGACAAAAACTGTGAATATATTCTCTTTATGCGTATAAATAATAGTGACATCTAGTAACTAGTGCTGAAAACATTACAACAAATTAAAGAGACAAGCATGAATCCTCAATATCACCAAAGCTTATGGCGACATCTGGTAGCAGTTATGTGGTTCTCTATGCATTTAATTTAATTAGGTATAAATTTAGCAATGTCACAGATAAACACTAAAAATTTAAAAAATATTATTTAAGTGAAATACTAATATTCGGTTTAAACTACCTAAGGTATCATAATCCATATAAATCGAAAATACACATTTCAACACCACCAGCATTTTGTTTAGGATAGTGACATCTAGTAAAGAATGGCAAAACTTACATATCACAATATATTTTAGCAGTTCCTAGATGTCGCTATATATATTACATGACGTCCGGTAAAAAATATTGTGTATTTGTTTTTTTTTCAGTACGCATTTTCTTAAATTATGTATAATTTTCCAATATTTTTTTGTAAAAATATACAATACAGCCACTAATTATGTGAGAGACTTTTGTCGGATGTTAAATATTCTACGAAATGAATATACTGGGTGAATTTTATGAAAGCCACGAGCAAATAGTATTTAATCACATCGTTTTAGCCACGGGTAACGGGTTAAGTAAGATTCGTTGCAATGGACAATGGTCTTAGGTATGTTGTACTTAATAAATATTATGTACTACGTACGTACTTAATTATACATAAATGAATACAATCAACCCAACTAGTTACTGTATTATGCAATCGCCATAATCATTTTCATTCCGAATTCGAATTATAATTCCGTCATAATGTAAGTGTACGTAATAATGAGATACCGTCATTTTCTTGGAATTAATGCAAGTAACCAAAAATCTTCACATTCTTTTTAATTTAATAATAAATAAAAGTTATAAATATTATAAATTTAAATTTTTAATTTAAGTTATATATATATGAGTAAAAAATTTTATACGTAATGGCCACGTATATAGCGCTCACTGCTGTGTTTCGTATGGTGAGTGCAGAGATCCGGAGACCTTTTTTTACTGGAAACGAGGCATTCCATTTTCGTCCTCAGGGGTGACAACACATCTACGTTTTGATTCTTAATCGGGTAAATATAGATGACTATGGGCTACAGCATCCACTTCGCATCAGGTGGACTACCCATATCGTCCCTTGGGTGTCGTAAGCGTAACGTCATTCTATATTTCTAATTAAAAAAATATATAAAAAACTGCGTTTGCCAACCCACCTGACGAGCGTGGCAACTAGGGCGATTATCCGTGGCAAATATGAAGCAGCCTACAGGGAGGTTCGGCAGTGGACTCTATACAGGCTGTACTTTTACCGATGAAAATTGCTTGACAGAAAATCCCTGGAACAGATTATAAGCTGATACGGGATTCGAATCCGGAACCTCATTATCAACGGCCGGGCTTTCGACCACCAGACTAACGGGGCAGTCAACAATGTACACTTATCTATCAAGCGGTACCGATCCTCCCAGCAAACATTTAATCACATTTTTATCTTGGCAATATTTGCAACGCAAATCGCCGACTTCTTATCAATGCAAGTACAGAAATAAAAATCACCGCGAGATCACTGCACGATAGCACCGTGCACTGACTGATAAAAAATGCATCATCAAACACGTTGAGGTCGACACACCGCTGTGTTTGTGCACGAGTTTCACTACTGTTGTAAGTTTCCAATCACAAAAGCCTTTTGAAGGCTACTGTTAGGTCTAAGGCTACTTGTAAGGAATTTATCTAAAAAATACCTATCAAGACATACCTGTATGGAATAAAACGAACTCTTATAAATTTAAAATACGTTTGTGTTGTGGGTTTTAAGTTTACCTATGAAGAATTTATTTACAAACTATGAAGACATGATCTACCTGTATAAAATAAAATGAAAACTTATTATCAAAGACTACAATATTATATAGGGAACTTTTTACTTAAAATATCATTCGTCATACGTCAAAATGTTTCTAGTGTATTACTAAAGAGACTTCTGAGTCTATGCTAAAGATTAGTTATTACATCTTGGCGATAGTTTATCCAATGATATATGCTCTTTGTCTGAAACGATAATTTCAAAATGAGGTGTCTTACCAGAGAAGAAATGACGAAAAAAATTCCAAAGTTATCCTCTATTTTCTTATTTCTTAAAGGCCAGTGAGACAATATTCCTTAACAAAATGAAATAGAATAGATCCATATATAGTAAAAGCATGTTCTTTAATAAAATTACACAACAAAAAAAGTTGATTTCTACATAATAGCTTCAGAAGTCGGTTCTAACATATGGTATATAGAAGATTTAAGGCCTTGACTTCAGAAGCTGTTCTGTGGAAATTGTTTTATCCTTTTTAGAACTTTGGAGTCGACTTTAAAAAAAATTATATAAATTTTTGGGAGCTATGGAATATCAAGCTTAAGGTAACAATTAAAATATCGTCTAGAAAGTTACATTCAAAATTTTACTCCTAATTTTCCACTACTAGGGATGGAATATTTTCACCAAATACATATGGCATCACGGTCTAAAGTCAGCGCCGGATTTAAGTTTTTGGCGCCGTAAGGTTTTGAAACATATGTTGCTCTCATTTTTCATTTCGTATTGGTTTCCTTTGACAACTAATTTAGATAGTTTTAGACATAAATACGTGAAATATGAAATATGAGAAAAAAATTGCGAATATGGGTATCATATACAAAGTTACGGATGGCTATATTTTCACAAAATTATCGTAATTAATTTTTTTTCACCTTCAATTATTTGCTTAATTAGTTTATATAT